TGGAAGTGAGTGCGCGAGGTGGTTATAAAAGGCTTCTACCCCCCAGGAACGAGGTATGCTAACTTTCGCGCTATTTGATTTATTTTGCCTTTGAAGGATTATAACTTGAGCTTTTGAGCCCTTACACCGGGTTCTCCCCGGAGCTTCTCTTCTCCTTCCGTTTCAGGTCCCTGTTACTCAGTTCAGAGGTAAGATCATCGACAGCTAAGACCGGCCAGATTGTGCACCATCACTTTCCAATATTTTTTTTTCTGAAATTTATTTATTTTTTCAAATTTATCCTTCATATCAATCTTTCAAATGTAGAGTTGCACGTTTAAATTATCTTTTATTTTTTCCTTGTAGAAATCAGTCTCAATAGTAAATATATGGGTATTTTTGATATTTTCATGCCTCTTTGTAGAGGATTCTAATAGGGGTCTATTTAAAACTATGTTTCATGAGAGATGATTGCAATTACCAAACTTCATAAAGGTTTCAGCGATTTACACTAAAATTTAAAAGTGAACCTCAATGTTTTATGGCCACCGTCCATTAAATGCCAAACAAAATGACAAATGTAAAATTATTGTTGTAAATTGAGTCGAGAAACTATTTTAAATATGCAAGTGAAGAAGGCTATTTCATAGATGACAAATTTTCACCCGACTTGTACACCATAAAGGTCCTATATGACATTGGAACCGTTATTGAACGATTACCAATAATAAGTATAAATTAATTAGAAACAAACTTAAATCAAAATAAAAATCAACTAGTATAAACTAATGTATAACCTTAAATAAATATTTAGTTAATAAAATCATTATTAGCTAGAAATAATACATTCATTCAAATATTTGTAGCAAAAGCAAACATTATTTAACTAAAATAATAAAAAATAAATATTTTCTAAATTTAATCATTAATTTAAATTAATAAGACTATTAATTAAAAAAATCAAGTTTTAGTAATTTAAATTCCTTTATAAATAATAAAATCAGTATAATAAATATAAAGGAATAAAAATTAATAAATTTTAAATTTAACTTTACTAATTTAAAATCTATTTAAATTAATCTCAAAATAAAATTTAATAAAAGTAATACAAATTTATTTAGGATAAATTCCAATTAGTATCCTGTACTTTGGGGCTAGTATCATTTAAGTACCTAAACTTCAAAACATGTCATTATAGTACCTGGATTCCCGAAAACTATCTATTTAGTTAAAAATCGTTAACTGACATTAAGTGGCATGTGAAAGGACAGAAATGCCCTTTAGATATCATATAACTTTGATTATCAACAAACCATATTGAACCATGTTTGTTATTTGGTTATTCCAACCTTCCCAAACATCTCTGTCTCTGTACTGTAATAAATTATTAAACCAGCTTGGTCCCAACATAGATTGCTTCACGCTAAGACATGCCTACTCGATCTTTCAACTACCAAAATGCTGTCAGCCTAGATCTAACCCTGGTAAGGGGTTGGTTCTTTACTCAAGGAATTAGGGCTTAGAGTGTGCTCAGCCTAAGCGATCTTAGAGACAGCCAACCCTTGACGCATGAGAAAAGAATGGGTGGGGAATTGGTTCTAAATTCTAATATGGGGAAGACTGCTGGACGAGGTCATAAGGGACGGAAAGCCATAGGAAGCATGAAATTTGGGTTTGAAGGAGGCTAGACTCCTCTTGGTCAACAATTGTCTAAGCGAGGATTTAAGAATCCTTTCACCCTCACTTCTCAGTATTCTACATCATTGTTTTCATTCACTATAATCGTCTTTTCAGGTTTTATTACTTTCTTTGGTTAATTCATAATGCTGAAAATCCCATCTTCCCATGGTTTTTAAAACTGACCCGGTGACCGAACTGGTTGGGGGTACGGTTACTGGGTCGAACGGTCCGATCATTCAACCCAAATGGTTTGACCGTTCGACCTGAACGGTCAGCCCGTTCTAACAAAAAAAAGTAGAAAAATAAAAAACGGTCAAAACCGTTCGAATGATTAATCGGCCGGTTCAGTGGTTTGTTGACCAAAATCAATGGTTTTGGGAAAAAAAACGAAATCGATTAGGTGACAGGTTCCTGATTTTTCCGGTCTGACCGTTCAATCCGGTCCGATTTTGAAAACCATGGGTCTTTCTATCTTCTTCCCCGATTCAGAAGAAGTAAGGGGAAACTCGAATTGAAACCAAGGTGAAACGCATAAATAGTAAGATGGTGATGCAGGTGAAGTGCCTTATATGGAAATTCTAGGTTAAACAAATCATCTTGGTTGATGGGAAATACAAATATGTATGATACAAATAAATACAAAATAATATAAAATACAAGGTTTTGTACTCTACATATTTGCATTTGTATTCCTTCCAAATTAAGCTTTAGGATGTCCATAACGGATTGCAAGTATGAGAAGTTGTGGGGGGTACTAAATTAATAGTTTTTGGGAGTTCAAGTACTGCAATAACAAGTCTTAAAATTTGGATACTAAAGTGAAACTAACCTCAAAGTACAGGGTACTAATGTAAAATTTATCGTTTATTTAAAAATAGCTAATACACCTATATTATTATAAGTGAATATTTGCCTTAGTTATATGGTGCAGGTTATAAAAATTAAATTCGATTTTATAATGTCAACTTATGTTTTCACCTTTACTTCCACACATGCCGTTTAATAAAAGTTAAATCCTAATACTATTTATCAAATATGTTTAGTCTTACACTAGTAAAATTAATACAGATTTATCTAACAATAATAAAATTATTTAGTAATAATTATTTTTAATTCAACTTAAAAATTATAAAAAAATATTACTTGAAAAATCACTTAAATTTCATTTAAAACTAATACAAATTTTTCTAACGCTAGATAACCAAGAATAATGTTTGGGTTGAACTTCGACCGGCCGGTTCGGCCCAATTAAAAATGTCATAAGGCTCTTTCCTTATTTCGCTTAAGAAAGCCCGGCCCCATTTGTTTATTTTGTTTAGCCCGTAATAAATGTAATATTGCATAATTGTATCGTTGGGTTCGACTCCACTATTCCGAGGAGCCCTAAGTACTGTGAGGCGGTCCATCAGCCATGAGTGGCGAGGGAAAGTTTGCCGGAGTTCCACAACGTCACCGGAGAAAGGATTTTCAGGTACGGCGTCGTCGTCTTCGTCTTCTTGATCGAAATGGGGGCTCTGCCCCTACTACTCTTCTCTCTATTTTCTTTCATTCTTTCTTTTCCACCTTTTTTTTTTTTCCTTTTTCTTCTTCCTTCTTTCTAGGAACAGGGTGATGAGTGCACTCTTGTAGAATTACAAAAAGAAATAGAGCATTTTGAGCTTCCTAGGAGCAATGCCCTAGTATTTTCGAACGTTCTATGCTCTTCAACGGCATAGTTTATAAGGAGTGGTGAATCTAAAAAGTTCAAGACTTTCTTATCTCATTACAATTCTACGGCCAACTAACTATTACAATTCACTACCCAAAATAATTCAAAAAAAGCAATTAGTAAAAGGAAATTGAAAATTCTTATATAACTTAACCTTTGCAACTTGTGGACTGTAAATTCTGGGTTATTCAAAGGAATCTCCATGATTGACATGCAGAGAAATGTTATCAATTGCCTTTACTCCTCCAATAAAAGTCTGTCCATCCCTCAGGGTCCTTTCCCGTGCCAGGAAGGCGTTTTGAAATTAATTTTTGACGGCAGTTCTAGGGAACCCTGGTGATGCAGGAATTGGAGGTGTGATCAAGGGGAGGGATGGGAATATTTGCTGGGATTTTAGTGGCCCAATAGAGACAGGTGACTCTTAGGCGTTGTCGGCTTTCACCATGATAGAGACTTGGGGTTCTTGAGCATAATCATTGACGGCGATTCAGAAAACACAATCAAATGGTTAGGAGGGAGGGATGGAGGACCCTGGAGGCTGGCTCATTACATGACTGAAGCGAGAGACATTCCCCTGATGTACATCTTCTCATGTATCTAATTTTATTTTAATGCATTCTCTGTTACCTTTTATCTAAAAAGGAACTTGAAAATTGATACGTACCACATGGTTCTTTTATTTTCTTCTTTTTTTTTTTCCCTACTTTCTTTCTTGAGCAAAAAAAGGGGCTCATTTATTTATTTTCTTGACCAACTAACTAACATAGATAATTTTGATACACTAAAATTCGCTACCCAAAGTAATTAAAAAAAACTAGTGAAAGGAAATCGAAAATTGACACACATACCTTTATTTTCTTATTTTTCCCCTACTCTCATTCTCCAGCGAAAAGGGGCTCCTGTACTAAAATGTTTCTTTCCTTTTCCTGCTTTTGTAGGTTTGGAGAAGACTCTCCGCTATTGGATTTTGTCTCTAATTCTGATTTGGTTCTGTGGTGAGATTTCCTTGTTCCTTTTTTGTTTCTCTTAATTTTTTTTATGCAAGCATGTGCTAATAGAAGGACTACTGATTGCAGTCATGTAATTAATTTATAATATCCACAGTTATCTTATTTCTAATGTAGTTGATTTATCTGGTTCTGGTTCTAAGAGGTGGCAAGTTTTTCTTTTCTTTTTTATTTTACCTTTATTTTTGATCAGTTGGTGATAAGTTTGTACTGAACAAAATAGAAAATAAAGAGAAGCTTAGGAATCCAGTGATAATTTAGAACTTAATGTTGATTCCTTTTTTTTAATGAACCAATACCACATAGGTGGTTCGTATGCAGACATGTTGTACTTTGACTTGTGATCTTAATTGCACTGGTTCACATTAGTTGAATTATATTGTTTCAGCATTTAGATAAGCTCATGTACACTATTCATGTATTTTTTTTTTAAATTTCTTTTTAATAATTTATTGCCTTGCTTCAATGAGGCCAGTGTATTTTTCTCACTTCACAGCTTAAGGCTCTTTTTTTGGGGTTTGTTGCCTCAAAGGGGAAAAAAAACAAAATGCTCTTAACTACATTGTTTTAGTTGTAACCAGAAGATTTTAGTGGCAAAATATTGGTTAAAATCCACTATTCATTGTAAACAATTTCATGAAGTCCTCCTAGAGACTGGAAGCCGGTCATGAATCGAGTTGAGCTCGTAGAGACTGTTCTAGATTTTATTCATGTAATCTTTGCCCTCACCTGTATAGGTTGGGTATGAAGAATAGTTCCATTGTAGAGAATTTTGAGTTTGATCAAGGTAGAGCAGTTTGGTGTCCAAAATTTAGGAGGTCTCTTTTTTATTGGGAAATTCAAGAGTTGTGGACCTCCTGGCAAAGCTGCAGTCAGCGGAACCTCAGGTGGAAAGGAAAGATTTAAGATGGTGAAAAGAAAATAGAATGGCTTATTTTCACTCAAATCTTTATACAAGTCTTTGTCAAGGTCAATTGAAGAAAATTCAGGTTCTAAAGGCATCTGGTGAAACCCTGCCCCCCCAAGGGTGGAAGCTTTTGCTTAACTAGTGGTGTTGGATTTGGATAGCATATTGACATTGAATCATCTTTAAGGCAGAGGTTTTCACTTAGCGAGCGGATGCTATCTTTGTGAGAATGCTGAGGAGAATGTCATCATTTGTTTGCTGAGTGCTTCTTCTCAAAATTCATTTAGGTAGTCTCCCAACTTGGTGGAAGAGATATTCTCCAAATGGCCAAAGGGATCAGGAAATGTCAAGGCCAAGCTCACCTGGTAGTCTCCCAACTTGATGTTTTCTGGGAACTATGGAAAGAAAGAAATAGAATAATTATGAGAAGGTTTGACCAAGGGAACATATAGCTCTTCTATTCAGCAAAAGAATTATGGTTTGGATCCTCATTCTCCCAGAGTTCGAAGGAATCATAAAGGGAGACCTTGGTTCTGGATTTTGGAACACTCTGCAGCTGGCCCAATTGTTTCTCCTTTGTTTGATTATGTTTTTCTCCTTTTTTCTTAAAGTTTCTCTCTTTTGCTTCACTCTCCTTTATATCTTCGCTTTCTAGTGATATCTCATCACTATCAGATGTACTTCTTTCTTCTATAAATAATTTTTCTTTTTTTTACTACCACAAAAAATTCATGTTTTGCTTTTTACCCTTTTCACTTGACAACTATGCTTTTGTATTTTTCTTATGTCACATTTTGGTAAAGGGGGTCAAATATCTGGTTGAGGCTAATGCTGGAGTGTATTATTTTTGGTGATTTCTTATCTCAATGGTTTGCAATTTTGATATTGTTGGACATTTCACCATACAGAGATGGGGATATTCAGGGATATTTTTCTAATTTTGTTAAGGAAATTTTCTAAAAACGTATAATTAGAAGAAGTATAATTGCACTTTTTAGGCTCAAAAACCATAGCAAACAACTATACAAATCAAATAGAGAAGATTAGGAGACTTAAATCTCTCTCTCTCTCACCACCATTTTGTCTTTTATCTATCTCCTCTTTGTTATGTATGCCATTTACTTTCCATTTTGACTTTTGTCCTTTTTGTTACTATACATTTTGGTTAGATTGAGAATCCACTTTTGTAGTTGTGCGCCTTCTTTTTCTTTTGTGGTAAGCGAATCATATCATACTGTAAATCAAACATTCAATCATTGAATGCCCATATGCTATTTTAGGAAAATATTTTAAAAAAAAGTATGATGATTTTAATGAAATATCAGAAAATTTCTGATAATATTCTAAAATTTTAAACCTTAAAAGTATAGTCTATTAATAACATCTGAAATGTTGCCAACATATTAACAATATGTTGGAGATATTAGAACAAAAGGTTCCTGTATGATTTCATATTGCCCTTAGCAAAATGGGGAGATATTGCGAACCATGCTTATTACCTCCATGATGTAATAAGTTTTTTACTAAATAATAGCTTTCTTTATGAAGTTTGTGTTTTCAATAAATATTACATTACCTTTTCCAAAAAAATAAAATAGGAGAGGGAATTTTCCTCCACTAATTGGTGCTGGATGGGGCATACTACATGGTAGTGTAGCAGTTTATCTGTGTTTGAGTAAATTCTAATATGATGTTAAAACAGTTCCTTTTTGTGTGAGATCACTACATTTTCTTTTCCTTGTATTAATTAAGTTGGTTGCTACTAACAAAGGAAATGCTTTTTTTTTTTCTAGGATCAACAAAATGGAAGGACCACCACCTTACAAAAATATTCAACAAAATGATTTTTCATATCGAAAGTGAGATGCTTTTTTCTCATCCTTTTGTTTTATTTTGTATTTTCTTGTGTAGCATTATAGAATTGAGTGCACTAAATGCTTTCTTTTCTTCAAGATGGTTGATGTATTTTAATAATGTGCTTCTTTTAAATAATTCTTAAAGGATTATAAGATTTGAGAAGGAATGATATTAGAATAGAGTGACTTTGTGATGAGAACCTGCCCACAACAGGAGTCTTCTTCAAGGGAGACTCTGCCTCCTGAAATCAGAGAATTAGAGAGAGAGAGAGGGAGAGTTGAAATAGGGCTGTTCACATTATTATTCTTATTAATAGCTCCATACTTCGCACTTTTATCTTTTTGGATAAATCTCTTGATTGTGGATGGTGACTTATCTTCTTTTACTTGTAACCAATGTTCTGAAAGTCATAATCATATCATAAATAGTAGAGAATGTAGAAGTAGAGCCGAATCAAGTCATGAATTGTGTCATAAATCATGAGATTTGTCTTAATGGTGGAACATGCCGTATATTTGGAAAAAAGAGTTCAACAAAGAGGATGTATGGGAAGCTATCAAAGAAATGGAAGGGGATAAGGCTCCAGACCCGGATGGATTCACCATGGCATTTTTTAAACGTTGCTGAGGGTTTCTAGAGGGACACGTTGTGTGTTGGAGGAGTTTCATAACACAACAGCATTGGAAAGGAATTTAAATTCAACTTTTATCACTATTGTAGCCTGGAAAAAAGGTGCTGAAGAACTGAGTGATTATAGGATAGTCAGCCTTATTGGCAGCATCTACAAGATAATTGCCAAGGTTCTAGTGAAAAAGTCTCAAGCTGGTGATGGAGAGCATAACCTCAGAAAGTCAAGGTGCATTTGTGAAGGGAAGGCTCATGGTGGGTGGGGTTCTGGTTGCTAATGAGATGATAGATTCTAGACTGAGAGGTGGCAGAGTTGGCATGCTATGCAAAGTGGATTTTGAGCAAGCTTATGATCATGTTAATTGGCAATTTCTGGACTAAATATCGAGAAGAATGAATTTTGGCTCCAAATGGAAGAACTAGATGGTGTGGTCCAACACTCCAACGTTTTCAGTCTTGGTGAATGGAGTGTCTTTTGGGCGGTTTAGGAGCTCAAGGGGACCCTCTATCTCTATTTCTATTCATATGTGTAACAGAGGCTCTTAATAGAATTATAAAAAGGGCCACCTTAGGGGGATTTGTAGAAGGTTCTAAGTGGGCAATGAGAGGGTAGAGGTATCTTTGTTGCAATTTGCTGATGATACATTAATTTTCTGATGCCTCTGGATTGCAGGACATCAATGGTTTGTAACCTTCCTTTTAGCATCAGCCACAAGAAAAAAGATTACCTTGGATGAGATTTTTAGCTTCCAAATCCAAAACCAAGGCACCTATGGATATTGGATTAGCACAACATGGAGTAGGAAAGATTAAGATTTTAAAATTCTAACAGCATGAGATGATGCAAACATGTGGAAACGACAACAGGTTAGCAAGGGTGTAGATTGAAACGAAACAAGTAGAAGAGTTAAGCGATAGCATGAAGATCTTGAATACTTACCTTATTGGTAGGTTTGTTGGGTGTGATGTAAAGAAGGAAAGAGTTGAAGCCTGGGTGAAGTCGGAATGGGGGGAAGAAAGCTTTGTAGGTGTCAGAAATTTGGTGGGGGTTTGTTCCTGTTTATGTTTCAGAGCAGGGAAGATGTAGAGTGGGTGGTGGATTGAAAAAAGGAAAAAACAAGAGAGATTGATCTGAAATTATGCTGGTGGTTCCCAGTGGCGGGGGTGATTCATGATGGAAGGAGGAGAAGGGCAGTGTGGATAGGTGTGGTGGGAATTCCATTACATGCCTGGGGTCAGATGACTTTTAAAATGATCAGAGGCAGGCTTGGAAAAATCCTAAACATTGAAAGGAATGGAAATTAGGAGAAGATTGATTTTGCAAGACTATTGGTGGAAATCAAAGACCTGGAAAAAATTCCAAGTTCTATGGAGTTGTTATTTGTAGGGGAAACTTACGATTTGCGTATGTTTGTAGAAGGAGAAGATCTGACATTCTGGAGGGCGAAGAGATTTTCTACCTTGACTGAGTTTGGCTTGATATCTAGGAAGTTGGCAAAGATAGCAAGATGGCTTGAGACCTCCTGTGGTGAGATCCGTGTTGGGAAGATGAAAGGTCGTCCTGAGGTTGAAGACAATGGAACTGAAAGGATGGGGGGAAGAGGTAAATTTGATTTTAGGGGATGGAATTATTTTATTTAATTAAGGTTACATGGATGACCTGGCAAAGCAGAGAGGAAAAAAAGAGTTCGGCGGTTACTCAATGGAAGAATGCTTAGTTCCTTTCCAGATACCAAAGGGATTAATAGGCCAAGTGGGGCCCACACTATTAAGAAAGAGTTGGGTGCCTCCAATTTTCTAAATCAAGTAGATGAAATTAGAGGTTCTGGTAGAAAAAGCCTGGAGCCTTTGTTCTCATTTGGTTTTAAGAGGTAAGAAAAAAGAGAGAACATTTTTTTTTGGTGAATTGTTGGGCATTAGACAGTTTTTGATTGGTATTGTTGGAGGTTGGATTTTGGTATTTATTCTTTTTTCATACCTTGATGAATGAAAATTGTCTTGCTGATTCTGTAGCTGATGGTGCATATAAGCACACTTGCTTGGTGTTTATATATTTAGAAGATCTGACATTCTGGAGGGCGAAGAAATTTTCTACCTTGACTGAGTTTGGCTTGATATCTAGGAAGTTGGCAAAGATAGCAAGATGGCCTGAGACCTCCTGTGGCGAGATCCTTGTTGGGAAGATGAAAGGTCGTCCTGAGGTTGAAGACAACGGAACTGAAAGGATGGGGGGAAGAGGTAAATTTGATTTTAGGGGATGGAATTATTTTATTTAATGAAGGTCACATGGATGACCTGGCAAAGGAGAGAGGAAAAGTTAAAGAGTTCGGCGGTTACTCAATGGAAGAATGCTTTAGTTCCTTTCCAGATACCAAAGGGATTAATAGGCCAAGTGGGACCCACACTATTAAGAAAAAGTGGGGTGCCTCCAATTTTCTAAATCAAGTAGATGAAATTAGAGGTTCTGGTAGAAAAAGCCTGGAGCCTTTGTTCTCATTTGGTTTTAAGAGGTAAGAAAAAAGAGAACATTTTTTCTTTTGGTGAACTGTTGGGTGTTAGACAGTTTTTGATTGGTATTGTTGGAGGTTGGATGTTGGTATTTATTCTTTTTTCATACCTTGATGAATGAAAATTGTCTTGCTGATTCTGTAGCTGATGGTGCATATAAGCACACTTGCTTGGTGTTTATATATTTAGAAGGTAAACTATTATGTTTATGTTTAGAAGCTATAGCATGATTTGACAGTGGCATATGCACAATAGCTCTGTATAATGGGGATGTAGAATAAGATTATAATCATGTGTAATGTGTACTAAGAATGATTTGGTTTATCATCATAATAATAACAATATTGATCACAAACAAATGTGTTAGGCAAAGACTCTCAATATGACCTCTTTACTGGTGGTTGGGGATTCAAGTGGTATAGTGGATTGGTTCAAAGAAAACAGAAGGGGTTCATGGCAATATATGAATACCTTTAAGGAGATAAGGGCTCTAACAAGAGAGATGGAAGTTGAATATAGATGGACACCAGATCAACAGACACTATGTCTGATGTGCTATCCAAACAGGGCATAAATCATAGTTTTCAAGGCGCCAAGGTGAGGCTGGGTGTCTGGGGGGCGCCTTGTCGCCTAGTCGCCTAGGCGTCGCCTAGGTGATGGATTTTTTTATATAGAAAACATAGATCCTAGGGTAGTTCCCTAGGTACCATAGCCATATTTCTTTAATAATTATTCATAATTTTCATAAGAAAAGTATAGAGTTCATGTTAAAGTATAGAAAGTCAACATATTCATGAGAAGAAAAAAAAGAAGGAAAAGAAAATTCAAAAAATATAGGGGCTGAACCCTTATTTTTGTTATAGGAAAAGAATAAAAGAAAAAGTAGTAGTAGTAGTAGTGTAGTACTGTAGTACTTTAGTAGTAGTAGAAAATGTGTTGATTAGACAAAGTTTTAAGTTCTTCCTTACTTATTGGTTCAGGTTTTAAAGCCTTTGAGGGTTCAATACAGCATTTAGCAATGTTTGTATTGATTAAATCCTAACAAATAAGAAAATAATAAAAACAAATTAGTATATAAACACAAAAAATGAATATTTTAGTTTAATAGTGCCTATTTTATAATTATAATGTAAAAAAATAAAGAATAAAAAAATATTTTACAATGCATAGTACAAAACTGCTTGGCGATTAGGCGAGGTGAGCCTCAAAAGGCGCCTTGTCGCCTAGGCGTTGCCTTGACAACTATGGCATAAATACTAAATAGGTGTAAGCTCTGTTTTGGAAGAGTTGGGGCTTGAATTGTAATTGTTGGGTTAGGTCGCAGTAGCCACTCACATTGGGATTGCTTGACAGATTGTACATAATCCATTATTAATTTATTTTTCACAATCAAAAAAGTTATTTGCTAACTATCAAAAAAATATCAATAATAATTACAATAACAACATTGTCAATGACCAATAGCAGGAGTTTATTATTAGAAGATGAACAACATCAATAACCAGTAGCATGAGTTAATTATTAGACTTCTTGTCATGTGGTGTTTTTAGTCTGTTATTGTTTTGCTGTTTCTTAGGCACAAGAAGCAGAAAGAGGAGGATATTGCTATCTGCAATTGTAAATATGAAGCTAATGATCCTGACAGTGCATGTGGAGAGAGGTGTTTGAATGTATTAACCAGCACAGAATGTACACCTGGCTACTGTCCCTGTGGTGATTATTGCAAGAATCAGGTCTACTGGATATCTCCATTCACCTGTTCTGTTTTCCTTTTTGATCCAATATATCACTGACAGAAAATATTTAAGAGCATCTGTAGGAATGATTCAGAAAATTGCAAATGTTTATTGTGCAAGTAGATTTTTGACATATATATTGGTGTTCCTCAATCTTTTTATATTTGTTAGGGCTGTGATGTCAGTGCCAGATTCTTTCCTGTAACTTGTCCTTTTTATTACTTTCATTTTTTCTTGTTATTAGAGGGCCAAGCGGAGAGGTTAATAACTTCTTTGTCCATCTTTCTTCTCGTCTTCAGTCTTTTTTCTCTCTCCATTCTCTCTTTCTTTTTACCTTCAAAGGTTGAGCTTTTTATTTCTTTGATAGTTTTGTTTCTACTATTACTCCTTGTACAATAATAAATATTATACAAGTATAGGTTCCATTTTTTTCTTTTTATTTGGGAAAGGTTGGGTTATGGTAACAGTTTACAAAGCCTTGCACAACAAGGTACTGGACAAGGCAAGCATTTTTTCTTGTACAACCCAAATCCCTCTTTGACTAATTCATACAAAAAGTTAACTGAAATAAAAAAAGGAGCTATAAGGTATATTCTTGAATAACTCGTGTGCTGCCGCCCATGGGTATATCCTTCCCCAGCTACCTTTTAAAACCATATCATTGTATTGAACTTGTTTCCAGAAAGCCTCCTATTGCTCTTTGTCCAAATTGACCACAATACTGCTTCTGGAACTACCATAAAACCTTTCCTTTCCCCGACAAACCACGCATATTCCAACTCCATAGCAATGCTAACTGGTTTCTTGGGAAACAGAAACTTTTACTCCAAACACCCTCAAAGATTTCATTCATATCTCTCATGCAAAACTGCAGTGCATGAAAATATGCTTCACCCCCTCAGAGTTTTCACCACACATCACACATCTGCTAGGTTCCACCAAAATGGCGACCCACATGAAACTTTGAGGGGAGCTGCTGATATCCAGACCCTGTTTTCAGGAAAATTTGCCTCCTCATCATCACACAATCCGTTATAAAAGGATTTGACTGTGAAAATTCCATATTTCTCCCCCATCCAAATTCTTTTATCTCTTCTTGTACTGTCCACCCTGACTGTACTTAAGTTTTGCATCAGTTCTTCCCACTGCTCAATTTCCAATCATTTATTTCCTTCTAAAACTGGGGTTCCAAACTCCTACCCCCTCCCTTCTGTGAGAACACTTCCAAGATCAAATATTCCTTATTGAGAGCAATTTTGAATAATGTTGGGAATCTCTCCTCGAGAGGGCAACTTCCACACCACACCTCTTGCCAAAAACTAATTCTTGACCCATCTACTTCCATCTTAAATACCTTGCTGATTTCTGTATACCTCTCCACACTGCACACCCAGAAGGTGGATTGGATTTGCCTGTCTCCCAGCTTGAGTTTCTTGTCCCTACTTCACCATTATTATTCTTTCCACTGATTTGTGGGTTCAACATTCGATCTCCAATACCATTTATCTCATTGGGCCAGATTGGATTTTCTGATTTTTCTTATCCCTAAACCCCTTCCTTTCTTAGCCTACGAACTTTACTCCATTTCACTAAATGAAACTTGAACTCTTCTTTCCATCCCTATGACAAAAATCTCATTTTCTTTTCCAAGATCTTGGCAACATTAGCTGGGATGGGGAAAAGAGACAATAAATAACACTATTTAGAAAACTGGATTGGACCGTTCGGTTGGACCGGTTGAATCATAACCCAGGGCCTTGGCCAGTTTGGTCATATGTTGAGAACCATAATTCATGAAAAACTGGTTAAAATGGGCTGACCATTCGATTTAACTGGAAAACCGGTAAACATGTCCTGGTTTTATAGAACTGCCCGGTCACCAAATGAGTTGGAGTTTCAAAATGTTAATGGCAAGACCTGAACCCACAATACACTCTTGATTAGTGTTAACTTTCCACCCTTTGACAGATATCTTGGCTTCTAGGAGGCTAACTTCCTCTCAACTCTTTCCACCACCAGTTCCCAAATGTTCTTAGATATGCATCTATCTCCAAGTGGCATTCCTAGATACTTAGTTGGCAATTTCCCAATTTTGCATCCCACTAGATCCACCAAAAGGTCTATCAGGTCCATACCCATTGCCATTATTTCACTTTTATGCATATTAACTTTAGGTCCAGGGCACTTCAAACCAGATAATGATCATTCTAATTATGTCCATCTGTTCTTAGCATGGCTTTAAAAATGTCATTGGCCTGGGTAGTCAGACCTTCGAATTGGGAACCAGTCATAGTTCAGGTCTGGTTATTAGGGGTGGCAATATCTCACCCAACCTGCTGAACCCATCTAGTATCTAACCCACCCAACCTGCCCATTTACTTGGCGGGTTGGAAATGGGTTAATCACCCATTGGGTCAATTTAAATGGGTTGGGTCGGGTTGGGTTGTGGATAACCATTGGGTTAACCACTATAGATACAAGTATGAATTCCTTAGCCATTTTTTTTATTTTCATTATTTAAGTGAAATAATTTATAATTAATGCATTGATTTTCTATTAATTATTGACTAAAATTAGTTTTTCCTCGAATCAACACACTTCACCGAAATCGACATAAATCCAAATCAACCCGACCTGAGTCTCGACCAGCCCGGATCAAATATGAACAGACCTGATCTCCTTGATTTGATCCGTTTGGGTCAGTTAGGTCAGTTCAAACCTAGTTTGATTTGAATCCAAATCGGGCCAATCGGTTTGGCCTGACCCAGATCCAGGCCAGCATGGTCCGACTGACCCAAATCAACTTGGTATGCTCGTTAACCCAGTTTGGACCACCTGGTTCGCCTTGGCCTAAGTGACTCGAACCAACTCGAATTTGGACTGGCTTGGTATGCTTGCCTTGACCTACTTTGGATTGATCGGCTCGGTCCCAAATCCATGCACAACCTGATACAGACCGGTTTGAGTCAATCGGCTATTTGACTAAACCAGCCCGGTCTAGTCTGACTGGACTGATCTGAATCCAAACAGTTCAAACACTCTTGATGTGATTAGCTCGAAGACAAATCTAGTTAGATCTTAGATAGTTCAAGTTGGTTTGACCAATTTGAACCTAAGTGGTTCGGTCAAGCCCGAAACCCGAACATAGTCAAATGGCTTCAGGTGATTAATTGCCTTTTATTCTCCTTGTAAAAATAATATGCATGTGTTGAAGTTTGACCTGCCATAGAATTCTGTCTTGTTCGTTGACTGTAGAGTAAAGTAGACAGCAAGAAGTAGGAGAGGAAAGAAGAAAAGAGAGAAGAGAGAAAAGAGAGAAAGGCTGGTTCGAATTAGGGAAAAAAGTTAATCCCTTGATTCGGCCAGACCTATTATTATA